CCACCGCCGCGCCGTCGTGCCGCCCGCGCCCCCGGCCGCCGCCACCCGACGTCGCCGGCCCCATCGCGGTTGCCGCCGCCGACCGGCACCAGATCCGGCCGGCCTCGCCCCCGGCAGCCTCCCCGACCTCATCTCCGGCGAGTTGCTCCGGCCACCTCGGCTTCTGTGCGTCCGGATCCAGATCTGGATCGGGTCAAGTTTTAGGGTTGACCCCGAAATCTTCCGTCTGTGTTATTTTATAGCCATGTTCGTCGCATCATAACTCCGTCATCGTAGCTCCGTTTCATGTGCATAATATATCAAAATGTTCATCAGGATGTTCTCTTCATTTTGTTCCATTGGGCCATGTTCATTTGAGGTCATCTAGATGCCTGAATCTCTGATGCAAGAGTGCTTCATAATGTTAGTTCCTGTTTCTTAACAGAATGTGTGCATTTGCCATTTTTTCTACATTTATTGTGTGCATCTTATGGGCATGAGCTCTACATGTGTTTTGGTCTATGCCATGCCATCTTTACAGAGGTGCTTATGATGTAGTTTTGTGATAAATGTGGTGACTAGCACAAGCATGCAAACTAGGCTTCGTGATGTTGCTGATTTTAGTCTCTGTTTTGCTGTTACTTTGATGCCATGTAAACTTGATGCTACAGAGAGATCCGTGCATATTTTGAGATACTTCAGTAAGGATGTTTTGAACATATGGTTATGTTATATCCATTCATGCCCTTGTTTGCAATTATGGAGTAGTCTAGCATGTCTTTTTCGTGTTCTACTTTTGCTATAAAATGTTTCCTGGCAGATTGTTTACATGTTATTCAATTTTGCCAAGGTTGTTGTAGTTGATGATCCTTGCATGCAATGAACTTGTTCTTGCCATGGTTAGCTTCATAAACATGTCTTCTTGCTGATGTTATGCTTATATTGTCATTCAATGACTTGTGGTGAGTGAATCGAGCTCGCGAAGATGCCTTCGTAATTCTGTCAATGCCATGCTCTGTTTGTTGAATCTGTTAATGAAACTTGCTATGTTTACATGGGTGCCATCATATCTTCTTATCCTTTTTGGCTCATGGTCACTAAGGGTCTTTTGTACTATGCTTTGAGTAGAATCATGCCATGTCTTGTTTTGCTATTATAAGTTCCTGTAGCATGTTGATAACTTGCTCTGAACATTGCTACCTGATGCTGTTTATGCCATGTCCAACCTGATATCTTTTGCACTTTCACCATGCTTGTTTGAACCTGTTGTTGTGTGATTTAGCCGTATCTCAGTGTTCCTCTTTTGTCAAGCATCTCATGTAGATCACTGCCATATGCTTTGTTTCTATGTTGGGGTGATGTAGCATAGTTTCTTGTTGCATGCTAAGTAGCATCATGATGTTAATCGCTGATTTGTGTCATTCTTGTTTTGCTTGCCATTTGCAAACCGTGCATCCGTTCCCGGAGATCTTTATATCGATTTCAACCGAAATCATCTCATATTTCCAGCGGCATACTTGGTTTGCCAAGTTGATGCCTTGTTCATCCTTTTTCCTCCCGGAGCATGCATACGCATTGCATATCACATCTCGCATATCATGACATGTATTGCATCATGTTGCTTGTGCATTGCTCCGTGATTTATTGTGGTTCCATTGTTTGTGTTCTTGCTTTGGGTAGAGCTGGGAGACGAGTACGTGTACGAGGAACCTGTTGAGTACGCTAACGAGGATCAAGCCTTCGACAACACTGAGAACCTTGCACGCAAGATGACCATACCTTCGACATCACTTCTATCTTTGCTTTGATAGTTGCTCGCTCTATCGCTATGTTAGCTCTACCTGCCAC